TAGCTCTTGATTGGGTGACATAGGCAGTTGTGGGCAGCAAGTCCATTTGCCTAATCAAACTTCTTTTTCTAATTGCCCTTATCTAACATAATTTTTATAAATGCTATTAGGAAAATTTCAAACATGATCAAAAGGACAGTGAATAAATGAATGCACATATACTTAGTATACAATTAAGAATACAATAAAATATGAGTTTTTACATTGACTATTATTTTTATTTTGTCCTAATTCCCTAAATCTGATTTTTTATTTGTTTCCATAACTGGAAATAGAAGAATATGGTATCATTTTAAAGACTGAAAACAAAAACAACTAAGAAACATCAATAAAAATCTGGATTTGTTACAACTCTTAAGGGGGAAAAAAGAATCTCCATCCTTCTCTGCATGGAGGCCAAGTGTCAGATTGTCATTCATTATAAAAGTTAAATTGCTGTTTTTATTAATCTAGTCCCCCTTCCCACTTTTGTATGCTCCTTCTCTTACTCCTGAAGGTGTTTGAGTTTGTGGCCCTTGCTCTACAGACAACCTTTGTGGTTACCTAAATATTAGATCCAGCACTACATAATTACAGTTTCTAAGTATGCCACATATAGTAATAATTATTCAGTGCATGTCTACCTAAGTGTCATTGACAAAAATGTTTCTTTTTTTGCAGGACCTGGCACATGCTAGGCAAGTGCTCTACCATGGAGCTACATTCCTAGCTCTTTAAATATTTGTTTTTTATTTTGAGACAAGGGTTAAGTTGTCCAGGCTGGCTTCAAACTTGGAATCCTCCTGCTTCAGCCTGTCATGTAGCTGGGATTACAGGTGTATACCACCAGCCTGCCTGACAAGATATTTATATTCAATATTAATTCTCTGATTTAGAAGGAAAAATCTGTTCCTGATAACTTATTATACTTTTATCCCCAGAAATGTTATAACACTAAAATTCAAGAGTTAAGCCTATAAACTCCTGCAAAAGAATAACCATGCTGCCTCTGGGGAGAGATCTAAGATACTAGGGGGAAAAGGGAGACAAGTAACTTCACCGACTTAATTGGTCCTATGTATTTACTATTCTATTAAAATGTATCCTAAATAAGATGTAAGAACTCTTAGCTCCAACTCATACTAGTTCTGTCACTATACTAGATTTGTGAAACTTCATTTCTTCTTTCTTTCAGAATCTGTATCTGTCTCTTTCTTTCTAAAGCTATCTGAGTAGTTTTGGTTTTCTTTTCGGGGGTGTAGAGTTTTGCCTGGAAGGAGATTACTAATTCTAAAATGGAAGATATTTTGGATCCTTTTTATTGTCAATGTTGAGGCAGAATTGATTGTTCATTTTACAAAAGGAATTGATTGTTCATTTTACAAATGGAATTGTGTTAAAAAAAATCATGATTTAATACAATCATGGCTTGGTAGGTAAGACATTATGGCATATTACTGCCACCAATTGGCAGCACATCTTAATTGCAATAGTAGAGAAAAGGGAAACCATTTCTGGTATTTGCCATATAAGCAAGAGTAAATGTCCATGTAGCCATGTGAAAATACACAAATACTTGATTTGTGGGAGAAAAATAAGGCAGTGTCATGATCCCCAGAACACAGTGTTTGTGAAGGAGGAAAAGAAAAGGAGTGAAAAAACATAGTTAGAAGACAAGAGACCTCTTTTTGGTCTCAATAGCCAATTGCATCAGTAACAGCATAGTGGAAAGGAAGAGTAATTAATCAAATGTTGCTTTAAAAGGGAGGAAATACCATCAGATCACTATAAAAAAATTGGTTGAACATCTTTAAACAGAACTGTAAGGTCAGTGCAATACCTTAACTGTTTTGCAAGCTAATGTTACCCAAAGATGAAAAAGATATAAGGTCAGCCAAAATTTTAAAGAGCTTGTGCTATATATAGGGTCACAGCTAGTTGGTTATAAAACAATTTTTTGCATGTTGTTTTCATAAACAAATGTCTCATGTTAATTAGGACCAGGGGATGTAGCTCAGTGGTACACACTTGGCTAGCCTTTCTAAGGCCCTGGTTCTATCTCCCGCATTGGGGGAAGAAAAGTTATAGTTAACACACTGTCAGATGCATCATGAGTTGGTATTCACGCAAGGAAAACATAGTAGGCAATTAAAAACTCTAGGTAAAACAATCTATATAAAGTCTTTTTAAATAAACTATAGGAACCCCTATTTAATGTCGACCTATTTCAAATAACACAGAATGTATTTTTTCTACTTATAATATTAAATATTTAGTTTTGGGCCAGGTAGGCTGAGTCTAATGGTCATAAGTCTGAGCAGGTATATTCTTTATAATATTTCAATCATATCAGTGACTTGAAGCTGTTAAAAATGTGTTTGAAAATATTTGCCAAGAGATTTGGAATCTGATTAAGAATTTCACAAAATCAGAAACTTCTGGGAAATGTATACTTTTGCAACAAAGTCAACATGTTATGGGATCTCTATTACTTTACTTACTAAATGGCCAAATTGTATGACTGAATCTGCCCTTTGGTTATATTTATGATTAGACCAGGTCAGCTAATGGGAAGTTGTGACAAAAGCAATAAAAAGATAAAGGAATACCATGAATGTCCTTAAGTACTTTATATACTGTTTTGTAAGCCATAGGAACCACAAAGGGCTTTATGTAGATACACAGTGTGGCTTTTTTAAAAGAGGTGTGTGAAGGATCAGGACTTTCAGAAAGGTGAAGAATTGTTCTGGTGTAAGATAGTGGGAGGAGACAGGGAGGTAAAAACTTGGTTTAAGACAGCCACAACAGACAAAGCATAAATGATATAAATGAGGATATGAGTAGACTCAAGTTTTTTCCAAAGAAGAGTCAAGTCTGGTCCTACTATTAGAGCCTGAGAACTACACAATTATCTATAAACACCGGTTCAATCATTAAGTGTGAGGACAAAATAAAGACATTTTTAGATTTCTATTCACTCAGAAAGTTAAATACCTATGCCTTTGAATATTAAATAAAAAAACAACTGGCTGGGGGTGTATCTCAGTGTAAAGAGTCTATGCCACATGAGGCCTTGGGGTCAGCCCCTAGCAGCTGGGACGGGAAGGTGGAGCTAAACGATTCCTAGGAAGATAAGAACAGCAGCATGGTAATAACACAGATGGTACTTCTGTAGTATGTGTTAAACAGACCAATGGGGTAGATACTATTGCTGTTTCCATCTTACAATTAAGGGAAAAGAGACACAAAGAGATGCGACCAAGGTCACAATTTTCCAGAGCAGTCAGGTTCTATGGTCCATGTTCCTAGTCATTAGACTATGCTGAAAGTACAATAGGAAGAAATTAGGAGATCCAAATAGGGAACATAAATTACTTTAAATGTTGAATTTTGAGCTGGAGCGTCCTATAAATTAGCTGAACACAGGGAACCTTAGTTAATAAAAAATCAGGAACAGGTAATTTAGGGGAACTTTCTAAGAGAAAGTTGTAGTAAAAAGCACAGCAACTAGGAGTTAACAGCATTGAAAAAAATGTTAAGACAATAAAACTTTTTAAAAAAGACAATGGAAACAGAAAGAATGCAGTGCTTAAGAAGACAATGGAGAGGTAAGATCCTAGGAAAATTGTGGCAGGAGGTGCGGAGGAAGATGTAATATGCCATTAGGCAAGATGGGCTTTGGAGAGAAGCGGGAATGGGTTAAGTCGGTCAAAATTTTTGAGATCGTGGTGAGGAGGTGGCTACAGAAGTTTAAGATGGAAAAAATGTCATTTTTGGAGTCCCATAGCTTTAAGCCCAGGAAACTAGGTAATCTATTAATATGGCTTGGGGTGGCACCTTCAGTAACATGGAAAGCTGAAAATAGGCTTTGCAGATAGTAACGTAGGAAGTCATCAGAGTCTAGTAAAACAAGGTATTTATCTACAAATCTCTGCATATATCTATTAATAGAGTCCAGTTATGAATTCATACCCTTCTCCAGTTAAAAGCCACACACCTTGCAACCCGTGGGACAGAAACCAGAAGAAAGGACAACCCACTGGAGACTAGCATTCGTTTATATACTAGTTGAACGATTCTAAGGCAATACTGGAAAAAAAAAAATGGGTACACCGATAGAGAATTGAGCAATACATGGGGCTGATGACTTGGAAAATCAGGATTCACTTTTACGGCAAAAAGTTGTAAACAGGTGAAAGGCAGAAGCCTTGGGCAAGGAGTGGCAGCTGGTGAAACAAGGGGCGAGGTTGCACAGCTCGTGCTAGATCTCCGTTAGTTATTTCCTTTTCAACAGCGTGGTTACGAGTCTCAAGTCCATTTCACAGCCACTGAGCGTAATCTTAGCTGTGGGAGAACTCTACTTCCAATGCTGAGTCTAGCTACACTCTTCTCACTAACTAGCCAATGCTGCCGCCTTATGCAAAGCCGGAACCACGGAGAGATCTGCTTTTCAGAGGGAGGACGACGCCAGTCGGCCTGCAGCGGGCAGTGTTCCGTCTAGATCCGCGGCGCGGGAAGTCCCCGTCTCGAAACGTTTTCACCATCGCTCGGGAAAGCACCTGGTCAACAATAAATGGCGAAAACAATGCTGCCCCCAGAGCCCCCGTTAGAGCCGGCGGGAGCAAGGCTACCGCGGCCGCTCTCTCGCGTTAGCGCAGGGCGCCTCTCGGCGGCTGGCGGGGGCGGCGGGAGGCCGGCGGGAAGCGCCAGCCCCGGACCTGGGGAGGGGCCTGGGCGGGAGAACCGCGGGCGGGCCGCTTCCAGCTCCCCGAGAAGCTCTAAAAATGGCGGGCGGCAACGAGCGCGGCAGACGCGCAGGCGCCACTTTGGCCGTCCTTCCGCCCGCGTCGGGCGGCCGACGAACCTCCTTCCAAGGCGCCCTCAACAGAGGCCTCCGCCGCTCGCGATTGGCTGAGTGGGGCAGGCTCTCCCTGCGGAGGCGGAGCCGCCACGCAGCGGCCACGTTTCCCGCCCCGCTGGTGCGCGTGCGCGCAATCCCCTCAGGAGAGCGTTTGCGCGCGCCCCCGCCAAGGCGCCCGGCTCGCGCCTCAGCTCCCTCCCCTTTCCGGGTAGGCCCGTCCCGTCAGCGAGGCAGTGAGCAGCGCGGCCAGCAGAGGGCGGTCCGGACCCAAGTCTGCAGCGGCGCCATTGGCGTGTGGAAAATGCCACCAGATGGCGGGTTAGGATTGCAGCTCCGTTGAAGGCGCGGCCCCCGCTTCCGAACCCCCGGCGACCACCTCGTAAACCCCCCCCACATCGGGAATAACACACCGGAGACTTTTGGGGGGAAACTAGGTCGGCGGCCGGCAGCGCCCGGATGGGCAGCTGAGGTGAGCGCGGGCGGCGGCGGCGGCGCGGGGGGCGGGAAAGAGGGGGA